GTCCAACAGCTAGTTCTTTTCTTGCCATTTCTCAACAGCTTAGAACCCTTGGATTTATTAGTTGATGAGTTTCTGTCTTTTCTGATGTTGCAAGCTCAGAGCATTCATTCTGAGCTATGTACCTGAGAAGCCTCTATAATAGGCCCTTCCAACCTTTTCCTGCAATAACAATGGTCATTTTGGTAATAACAGCCATCTCACTTGACCACAGTACCTCTCTCTCTCAAGTGTGGTTTAAAGTCTTTCTAGTAAACAAAGCAAGAAAAAGTCACATTATTGCACAACCAAAACTACTTATCCTGAAGATTATTGCTGTGGTACAGCAAGCAACAGTATGAACTACCACCACCCTCTTCATCCTTGATGAGTCTTTGGGAATAGGATATTGCTGGTTTCTTAGATTTTTTTTTTCAGTTTTACAGTATGCATGTCAAACATAAGGGGGGCAGGATTTACTATAGATTAAGGTAGTTTTAACCTATATGACCAAAATGCACTGAATCCTATTTATTTCCGTGACTGTCTCGCTTTCCAGCCAACACTGCTCAAGGTACCATTAAGGAGGGGTGGCCAAACTGTGGCACATTAGCCATGCGGCTCTTTGACAGTTAAAAGTATGGCTTGTGCAGCCCCCTATGCCTCCCTGTTCTCAGCCTACCAAACTGTTTGGAGGAGCTTGGGGCTTCTGCCCTCTGGCAAGGTGGTGGGCTAGGGGCTTCTGCATAGCAGAGAGGAGGGGCTCAGGGCTTGTGCCACATGGGAGGGACCTTACGACTTTAGACCTCCTACTACTGATGCTGACAGACCACATGGCTCTACAGGACAGAAGCTCTGAGCCCACCACCCCACTGGCTAAAGCCCCAAGACCTGGGAGAGCAGGTGTGCCCCATCTCTCAAACTTCTGAAGATTATCATATGTAACTTGGAAGAAACAGCTGCATGGTTTAAATACAGAGGCACTGGCAGAAGGGAGAGTCCTTGGCTTTGGAACTTGCTTGCTATATTGTATTCCTGAACCTACTTTTGGTGACCTTCATGATACACTACAGGACTTCATTACAGGACACAATATTAGAACTTACCCGTCGCACCAGTCTTTTTGGGGGGATTAGGAGGAGGTAGGTTACAATCAGTCTTGCTTGTGGTCCGGAAGGTATTTATCAATATGTATTGTTTTGGCATCATATGCACTGAACTTTTGAGACAGGTGCAAATGGAAAAGTAAATAAATAAAATGATCAAGTGTGGGTTTGTCAAGTGAAGTCTGACAAACTAGGGATGGTGTAAAAAAAAAAGAGCAATGCGACTGGAGAAAGAAAACACTCAAAGGATTCACTGACTTCTGAAAAATGTGTGATTCTCTTCAGCTGTGAAATGTTACACCTGTTGTAATAATTACCCACTGTAAAGTTGAAAAGTTCCTTTATGCACATTTCATGTAACAGCCTCACAGTACTACAGATGCTTGGCCCAAGCATCAAGAACTCTGATTTCACATCATCCAATTAATTATTCTCTGGATTTAGGTCACTTTATGTATGTATGGTTCCCTGGCAGAAAAATAGGGATATTGCTTTCTTACAGGATTCTTGTGAGAATTTAATTTTATATAGCACTTTAAAGATGGAAAATTCTGCTAGGGATTATGTCTTGTTGGAATATTATAGCTAATATGCTGCACCTGGAATAAAGAGGCTGATTTTAAGTAAGTTTCCACTGGTTCAGAACACAGCCCTTCTACCTACAACAAAGTTCCTTTGAAACAAAGGAATTATCAACATCAGAGCAAGAGGTGTTCTGCAGAAGACAGAAATTTAAATGCCACCTTTGCATTCCCACCCTTTGATCCTGGGCTACTCCTGGAGTTGGAAAGCCCCTAGCATACTGCAGATTGCCCTGAGGGCCTAAGTTCCTGCATTTCTCCTGAATGCAGCATTGCATGCTGTGCCTCTATTCCCACTCATGTCCCTTATACTTGGAGGTCCTTAGAATGCATCCTTATAAGAGTCTTCTGCCGTGCTCATAATCACCCAGTCAGAAGCAGGGCCCCTTTACATCGCTATTCCTTCAGTAAAAGGGCTGCACCCTTCTGAACACAGTATTTTAAAATTCTGCAAACTTTTGAACGTTCTTTGTCAAAATGACAACATAAACATACCAGTTTCAATTATTTTTGTAAATTTCACAATACCTGTCAGCAAGTATGTCTACAACAAATACAGACTCCCCCCAGGAGTAGATAAAGAAATCTTTATGCCCACAAGGATCCTCACTGCAGGATCAAGGTATAAATTCCCCTAAAGTAGGAGAGAGGGACAGGAAGGCAGAGAGCCAATTAGTCATTTGAGAGAATGCATTACCTTAGTGAGCTCTGTCCCCAGTCTCTTCCCAGGGAAGGGATGGGTGCTGCCTACTTCTGAGGGCAAGTAAGCCCCAAGACCATCTTAGCTGTGCCTAGACCCTGTCCCTTGCTTCAGATCCCCCTCCCCCAGGATCCTTGTCCCAAGAACTCATTGCCCCTTCACTGTGCTCAGGACACAACACTATATTCTTGCCTCCCCTTTCCATCCAGGCTCCACCTCCAACCCCCAGCTTTCACCACCATTAAGGACTCTGCTTCCCCCAGAACTACCACCATTTGAGTCCCTATACTTGCCTCTCCCACACTGACTGACCCATTCCTTGCCTGCCCCACCCTCAAAAAGAAACTGACCACAGAAGCCACAGTGGGAGAATCCTGGCTCCTGAAGAATGGATCCTGCCTGTACAATGCTGCAGGAAAGAGCTCTGCCTCTAGCATATGCTGGAAGCAGACCCTTTGGCCTCCCTAAATGGTGCCTTAGCCAAAGCTCCCTGAAGCTTCATCACAGCAGCAGAGTAAGGAGCATGCACTGGGGCTGTTTCCCAGTGAGGAGCACAGGATGGAGTCTGCAGTCCCCCTCTCCTCCAGATATGGACTTGGTAGTGGTGCTGCATCTAATCTCCTAACACAGCAAAAAGGCTGGGCCTGTCCTAGAAATATCCCAGGGCCTTGCCCCTCCATGCCAGGCACACTGCAATAGTGAGTGAGAAGGACAGAGCCTCGCATACACTCCAAGCACCACCCATCCTTCCTCCTCTGGGATGGTGATTTACATCTCCCCCAATTGCTCCCAAAGCCCAGAACACCACACTGATTCAGGACTGCTGCCAGGAAGGGGTACATGACCTCTCTCACAGCTTCCCTGTCACAATCTATTATTCTGTGAGGAAACAAAACAATCTGCATGGGACATGAATTCTGCACCTGTGCAGAACTCCCCCAGGAGTATATAGTTTATAATTAGCACAAGTGTTCTTCATTTGGAAGTCAAAGGAGATATTTCATGTTTGTGTTTACAAATACATTTCTTTCTGGATTAAATGACTGTAAGCAAATATCCATCCTATTCCAAGTAGGATACAAAAACTTGATATGGTATAAATGCCTTTTTAGTGTTTGAATTTGTTGTTAAATAGCAAATTAACATCAGACTAAGCGTTATCTTCATCTTGGCTTTTATAGCATCCTTCCAATCTGCCCTTTTCTCTTCCTACCCCTTTAAGTATGGAGTCGTCCTGGAACTCATAGGACCTACCTGTGTACATGAATAAACTGAAGTTACTCTACAAGGTCAATACAGGATTCTAACATCTTACATTAGAGTGATTCAGCAGAAGAGGCCCAAGAATTTCCCATAAGAATGACTATACTGGGTCACCTCTGTCACAACTTCCCAGCCCCTGACAAACAAAGGCTAGAGATACCATCCCTATCCATCCTGGCTAATAGTTATTGATTGACCTATCTTCCATGAATTTATTTAGTTCTTTTTTTGAACCCTGGTAAAGTTCTGGCCATCCTATTACTTGGTGATTCTGATTCAAATGTTTGAGAAATGCGCTATGAAAAAACTAATCTATCCTGAAACTAAGAATTTCTTGATGTTAAAATGTTCTGGTTTAAAAATGGAGGGATGAACTGGTGTTCAAAGATGTGCAAGAGAAAAGTAATTTGTCAGACCATTTATTCACTCTGAAATTGAGCTCAACTGTTAAAGATCATTTTATCACTATTATGTCTTTTCTGTTTGACATGATCCAAATACCGCAGAACAATAAATATGTGGTCCATGAGGGATTGAGAACTTCTAGTGATAATATTTACAACAATTGCGTTTTAACATTCAAAAATTCATTGTAGTAGCTACAAGAGATTTCCCCTCAGTTATCAACCCAGGATAGTTTGACATAACCTTTCCACATTACCTGAAAAAAAATGGAGCTCCCAGTTCAAGCCATTTTTGAGAACTGAGGCAGGGGGAGGAAAAATTAGAATGTGGATTCTCAAATAGTCAGTTCAATCCACCTCAAAATTAACATACACAAAAAAAAAACCCTCTCTTTTGGCAGTAGACCCCAGACAAATTTCAAGTGAAAAACAACTGTGGAAGCTTGGAGTCAGTAAGGGAAAAGGTCACAAATGACCAACATCTTAACACTACCATCAGCGCGACTGACAGCCACTGCAGGCTCAGGGGCCAGCTGTGGGGGTAGTCTGGCTCTGTGCCCTGGATGAAGTGGAGCCTCGGGCAGAAGGGGTGCAGTCAAGGGTAATCAGTCCTTAGCGCTGCCCAGAGCATGGTGCTATAGCCTCCTGCCCAGCCCTCAGAGTGGCATGGAGCAACGCTCCCATGGCAATTGAAAGGGGTCTGGGCCTCTGGCTGCCGCTACTGCCTCAATAGCAGCAGCGGTGTCCAGGAGCTCTGGACCCGTTTGAAATACCGGGCCCTCATGCAGTTGCCCCCGGCAGCAGACCTGTGCTCCATAACATCCCTTTAAGAAACAAGTGGTTTTTGAACATTACACTTTGTCATGACATTACAAATGTACAAAATATGCTTTGCATATGATTGCAAAAACAGCAGCACTCTGGAGGCCGGCACATACTGTAATATAATAATAATGAGTCTACTTCAGCATAGCAGATTTTAATAATACTTTAATAGTGCTGGTAGGAAGCCAAATTACATAATGTCCCAAAATACAAACCAGAAAACCTTTACAGAAAAAATAAAAGCTTACAGAAATAATCATATTTAAAAAAATATGATTACCTATGGGATAAAAACATCTTCTAAACAAAGCCATTAGGCATACTTAATTTTAAAAAAATCAAATTAAAGAAAAGGCACTCAAATCTAGTCCCAACCCTCAAAATAAAATCAAAAGGATGTTATTTTATGCAACATTTTTGAAAATGAAGGCACTGTGCCAGCATTAAAAAACAAGCTAAAAATCACAATTACTACTTTTGGCAGACCACCTCAATATGCTTTAACTCTTTTGTTTCTCTCGGAGGACAAAAAATGATTCAGTTACCTTACAGGTTAATTCTGAGAGTGAACTGTGTTGGATTATCTAGTAGTCTTCTAAACTGAATTCAAGAGAATATTCTCAAAAAAAAAATTAGACACAGACACCGTATATTACAACGTAAAACAGCAATTAAAAAAAATCACTGCAACAGTATATTTTGACACCACAATATTTTAAACTGTTGTAACATTTTAACTAGAATATTCTAGTGCTATTGTAGACTGAATATCAATAGTTGCATGGACATTTCTTACACTTTATGTGGATTAGCTATGTAGATACCTACATTGAATAAGGACAGAGCTATATATGTAAGTGAGAGTTTCCAGCATATTATTGTCTACAATAGACTGTCTACAATAATTCGGACTCCATTTAATAGAAGAGGTGACAGACGCAGTAAGAATCAAACCATTTTCTTGTAGAACAAATCCAATATTATGTTTCCTCTATATAGTTCCAGATTTTAAAACAAGCTTAAAAAAATACAGCAACTAAAAGTTTAAATGTAGATTCTGTATCACAAGACTGACAGAAAAATTTGAGGCCTTACATTCTTTAGATGTCTACTTTAGCTGTAGTGGCTATTAAAAAGTTATGTGTAACTTCAAGATGAAAGGCATTAGCAGCTTCTCAGAAAGGGAAAATCACAATCTTCTAGAGATTTAATGAGACGTAACTCACAGAGGCTTCTGACTTGGTCTGGCGTTAATTGAATCAAAGTCAATGATGATCTTATTGCACTTTGGTTTGAATTTCCTGAAAATAAGATAAAAATAAAGGATAGATATTAGCCAGTGAGTAGTTAAATATTTTGTTTGCTTTGGCTCCAACTAAGTTTTTTGAAGAAAAAAATTTCCTTGGATTCACTTAGCGTTTTATCTCTATAGGAGCCAATTATAGTGCACCATACTGAGAGAAACCCGGACAAGAAAGACTAAGACAAAAAGACACATGGGGTTGTTTAGTCTGTATGTTCTTCAGCTATTGGAGTTCATAAATTACCCAGGAGTCAAAGGATTTCTAACAACTTAGCTGTAGGAGGTGGCATCATGTTACCAGTTTTTCTGCAAAATTTGATCTCTTTTCTTTCCTGCCAAGTTTTAAAAGGAAACTTTCAAAGTTTACTTCAATACTTTTTGAGCAAAGGGAATAAACTGCAATATGCACTGTAAAAGAAATAACTACAATGGTTAAGAGGGAATCATTTAAAAAGTATAACTTTGGAATTATAAAATTAATATTGCCACAAAATGCATCTTTTTACACCATTAGAGCATCTGCTACTGCAATTAACAAGGAAGGTATTCAGGGACCAAATATTTAATTTACAATTACAAATAAACAAAGGATTATGCAAATGAAGTGGTTTTAGGGTCTCAGGCTTCAAAATTCAGATCCAGAGATTTGTTAAGTATAACTTGTATCCTTAATAATCAATATGACAGGTGAAAACAGTAAACACAGTAAAGAACATGTTGTTGACCACAGATACACTAATCGATTATAATGTCCATTTTTTCCAGCCCAGCAAATTGAGAAGCAAGGAATACTACTCACCATAGGGAAATTATGGTAAGATTTCATTTGTAATGGAATGATTTATGCCTTAGTTAGCCAAGTAACTTTAATGGCAGGAAATACACTGATTTTAAAAGTGAATTTCAAATACAGCTGTATTGGTTCATGGGTGTTTCTTAGCCCAGCAGGTAGCTTTTCATCCTAAAATTTTCTGTCAGAATTGATGTATTTGTAAAATGTAAGAAGGTTTTATATTAATATTGTAAAACTTTTTGGAATTCTAAAGTCTCCCCATGACTGCGTAATTAGTCTCTCCCATAGCATGTTATTGGCATCAAACTAGCTGTCAAACTAGCTGTCTTGAGATATCTCTGTCACTATGCTTAAAAAACTTAACAGATCATTCAGATTCTCATCACTTCAGGATACATATTCCAGGTTTTATTCTTTTAAGAAAGCGGACTGCAGAAGACTGGACAATGATAGAGACTGATATGCTCCTGGTTAAACTCCAGTTCAGACTGGTTATATCAGAAGCAGTTCTGCCAAGAAGGGAGGGGGGGGCAAAGAGGACAAAGGGAGCCGTTGCCCTAGGTCCCAGCGATTCAAAAGGTCCCAGGACTCCCAGCTGCAGGAACAGTGGTGACTGGAGCCCCAGGCTGAACCCCTTGTGGTACACTCCAGGCAACTCTCATATCTGGTTGAGGGATAAGAGGGCAGACATGTTACACTCTGGGCAGCGCTGAGGGCTGGCTGCCCCCAGTCCTACCCCTTTCACCAAAGGCCCTGCCCCTTCCAGAGCATGGAATCACCCCCCTCTCCCCCCCCCACACACACATCTTGCCCTGAGCCTGGCAAATCTGTTGGTCCCCCTGGACAGAAAGTTATTACCCTTCCAACATGGTTCCATGGTCTACATAAAACAAATAGGTGGTTCCAGTCAAGCAAATATGAATACACACACCATAAAACCATCGCCCCAATTGGAAATCTTGATGGCAGTCTTAGAAGAAAGGCCAAGGAGTGAACAAACATTGAAGTAAGAAGTTAGGTCACTCCTAAGTACCACAAGATTGGATTTAAGGCATAGTGGCAAGGGACAGTTCAGAAGCAGCTACTGCTGTTCCCCAGAGACCAGACTTCAGTTTCAAAAGCTATCAGAGGTAAATTGACTGGCACTAAATCTGCTCGGGAGTTTTTGTAAGAGAATTAACTGTACCACACAAGTTACATAAGGAGAAAAAAAAAATGTTTTTGCCTAACCAGTTTCTTCCTTACACAGTTTCTTTATTTGCATATTTAAGTGTCAACCACCACCAGTCAATGCTCTATGTCTTACCTGTATATAATTCCCACTAAATCAAACATGCGCCGGGCAGCTGTCATTTCAGGGCTGTCATGGTATTTGTCAGACATAAAAATAACTTCTTTTATACCTACAAATGTATTATCAGAAGACATGCTATAATTACAAGCAGAAATAAATCGGATAGGGGAAAATAATTTAGACATATACAAGACTAAAAAGAGCACCTATCCATATATTCTAGGTACCACATTACATGAAAACGTATTATAAATTATACTGTGAGGCTACGTCTACGCTACGAGTTTTCTTGGCAAAAAATATGCCGAGAGACTCATTTGCATGAGTCGCAATCTCATTTGCATATTTTCTGCTGATCCATTTTTGCACTGGAGGTTTTGCACAAACCCCTTTTTCCACAAGACCCACCGGTGCACAAAAAGACGTCCACACTGCTTGTTTTTGCGCAAAGCCCCCTAGTGCAGCAGTCTCCAACCTTTTTACACCCAAGATCACTTTTTAAGTCTCAGAACAGGCGAAGATCTACCGCCCTGCCCCTTCCTTGAAGCCCTGCCCCTTCCTTGAAGCCCCGCCCTCTCTTCTCCTGTCCATCACTTGCTATCCCCAGCCCTTATACATAGTTGAACAGTTTATTTTTAAATTATGCAATATATACACAATTGAAATCACATGTTTATAGTTATGAAATAAATGGTCTGTTTTTAATTCATGCTATTTAAATGTCAAATGAAGCATTTACAATTATACATTTTGTTCTCTGCTATTTTGTAAATCTAAAATCAAGTATTGATAATTATATTTTTTTTTCTTCCAATAACAGAGTCTCAGTGTGACACCTGTGACTGAACAGTATCTGCCAGTGTCTTGAAGTCTGGGTTGTAGTCTGAGATTGCTAGTCGTATGCAGTCCATCAGATGGGCATCTGTGATCCTGCGCTCAGCCTGGGAAGCTTGCTCCAGCACAGCTGGAGCTAGACGCAGCCTCCCTGGGCTGAGCGCAGGGCAGCTGGGCTGGAGGGAAGAGAAGTGGCTGCTCGGCCAGCTGGCCATGGCGCTCAGCCAGGGTGCACCAAGCTCCACGTGGGCAGGCGCAGAGGAGAAGCCGCCGATCAGCTGGAGTGTGGGGCAGCCGCTTTTAGCTGAAAGCCACAATCAGCTTGCTGGAGTGTTTCAGCCCTCCCGACCTCCCAGCTCCCACCATTCCTCGCAGCTACTCACCTGTGTTGTTGCTCAGTGAGTAGCTGCTCCTCAAATGAGGAAGTCTAATGTAAATGTACTGCGCAGGCGCGCAGTTCAGAGAGGGCTCAAGAGCTACTCTTAGAGCCCCTGAGATCTACCAGTAGATCGCGAGCTACTGGTTGGTGACCACGGCCCTAGTGCAAAAACGGATTGGCAGAAAATACGCAAATGAGATTGCGACTCATGCAAATTAGTCCCTCATTAGTATATTTTTTGCCCAGAAAGGCTACGTCTATACTACGAGTTAAGAGTGAAGCAGTTCATAAAATAGCCTCTCCATGGAAAATTTTTGGTGAAAATAAAAATTTGAAAATTTCCATGAAAGACTGAAATAAGAACTTTCAGCCAAAAGCTGAACAGTATCACAATTATTCTCTCCCCTCCCCAGTTTCTCTGTGTGACTCTCCTACCACAGAGTCTCGGAATGGAACATGGGTTTCTCCTACTCTCAAACCAAATACTAGAGCGCAGACCCCTGCATCAACCATGATCACCTTAAAGATCTAACACCTTGGCATTCTTTTTAAGACCTCCAGGGCAATGACGGTAGTAATCGACAATCAAAGCAAAGCAGAGCATCATTTATTTAGAATAAAAAGCCCTACAGAAAAGAAATGCATATTAAAACAATTAGCCAACCTAAAGGCTACGCTTACTTTTTCATTATGCTTACCATTCCCTAGATCTGGAAAGGCCAAATTCCATTGGACTCCTCCCCAGAGTGAGTCTCCCTGTGTGCCAGCCTATATTGGCAGCTTCTGGCAAGCACCACCACTAATGTCCCCATTATTTTCCATCCATGTGCAGATTTTTTCCATCCAGGTGCAGAATAATTATTTGTGTGTGTACGGAAGTGAACCACAAGTAAAAATTTAAAAAAAAAAAAAAAAAAAATCTAGATGGGAGTGTTCTGCTAATCAGGTAGGCTGCATTTGGATATCTCTCGCATAAGCCACAACTTACAGGGAACACTGACCCCCACCTTCGTAGGAATCAGACTTTTCAAACTTTGGAAGTTCTTTTATCTGCTGGATCCCAGAATCTCAGAACAACATTCACAGACTATGGGAGACAAGTTATAGGACCTCTGAAACTAAAATACGAGTCTTATTGCCTTTCTAGCGTGTATCTAGATGTTTTTATTTGGGAAGCCATTGTATTACTTCCTTGTTTGTTTTTGTAATAACTCCACTGTAAATCGGATCAATGCATCAAGGAAGAAGTCTTATCTAATACAGAATAACTTCCCCCCACGGACCTGGTCATATGCAGGGTTTTTTCTATATGAACAGTCAGTTTGCAGAAAGCCTGGCTACAAATTTATACCACACGAAGCCTGCCATGCACTAAGTACAGTAAAACTCCATTAGTCTGGCATCCAATGCTCCGGGACTCCTGATGGTGCCGGAAGTGCTGGGGCAGCCGGACAGGCTTCCTCCATTCAGCTGCTGCTGAAACTGACCAGAAGCTGAATCGGGGAAGCCAGGAGCAGAGCAGCTGGGGTGGTGCCGGGTTGGTCCCGCAGCACCGTCCTTTGGCGCAGCAGGACCAACCTGGCAGCACTCCAGCTGCTCTGCCCCAGGCATCCCCCAGAGCAGCC